CCCCAAAACCCCAAAACCCCAAAACCCCAAAACCCCTGGAAAATTCTATTAAATTGAATAATTCCTCACCTCTAATTTATTTGAAGTAACTAAGATGCTAGGGAGATAGACAGGAAGGAAACGGAGATAAGACTTGGATAAAGAATTCTAATTTGCTCTATGTGCTTACTCTACTGTGTAAGGCGCTTATATAATTATATTTCTTAGTCAGATAGCTGGTTGAACAGATCGAAAATATTCCTTCTGATTAATAACTTATCACATAACGAGAAATTTCTTTTCAAGGAGATATATGACTTTTAATTATGTAAACATTTTCATGATAATTACAATTTAAACTTGATTGGCCCAATCAAAAGTTTTGATTTGAATTCTTATATTGAGGCTTAAGACTCGCTGAAGTCATCACCAAGGAAATTCAATTTCTGTCCCATTCTATTAAAATCACCATCAACTTTTTCCTCTTCAAAGAGGCCACTCTGAGGGTTTTTATATCTCAACTGGGACATGTCAAGAGTATGATGTTCGGGAAAGGCATTCCTTTGAAACTCAATTTCGTTACTCTCGGACTCTAACATCTTGTGGTATGTAGGCACTGGGTCTCTTTTACTAGTCTTCTTCTCAATTTCATCGACCTCTTCGACGTCAATGGAATACATTGTGCCATTGGTGTCGTTCTTCCTGCTTGTGCTGATCTATTGAGAAGAAATATTAGTAAAGATTTGGGAGCTCAGCTCTAAGTTTAGATCCTAAATTCAAATCTTACATGCAGGAGATCCATCGGCTTCTGCAGGATAGTGTCTGCAATGGAAGTTAGAGTAAGTTGATAGTCATTCTACTTACTTTTGACTCTTGGCTGAGTGCTATTTACCTTGAACTTTTTCTTTAGCCAGTTAAAGACCAGAAAAAAACCTATAATCACAATTGGAATTGCTATTAAGCAGATTATTAACTTAAGAGCATTATTTTCTGATTTTGTGTCATTGATTTGTCCGACATTATGGCTTTGATCATTTGGAGATTCCTGCTGAAATATTTTTCCTGTATGTTGAGGATTTGTTCCTCGGGTATGTTCTCCTTGATTATATCCTATGTTTGAACCTCCTTTTTCAGGTCTATTGGAGTTAAATAAGACTGGGAAGTTTAAGATTTTACTAATGATAAAATTTCGAATTTTGAAAAGAAATTATTGACAAAATGAAATTTGGGAATTTATAATTCAAATCAATGCTTATCCTTTAATCTCAATATAAATATCGTTCCGTATCGATGATTCAGCAAAGAAAGTAACTGAAAAGGCATATTTTGATGTCACCCTCATAAATGTCAAAAAAATATATTCTGCATGATTACTATCTGATAATGACCCAGCCATGCATGGAACATAGATCTTACTGGTGACTCCATCTACTCATTTGTCCCCTTTCCTGTTTTTAAAATATATAATTGTGAGTTTACGGGGTTTTGGGGTTTTGGGGTTTTGGGGTTTTGGGG